GTGGTGCATGCCTGTAACCCCAGCACTGGGGGAGGCTGAAATAGGAGGATCACTATGAGTCCAAGCTGTGTAATGAAATCCTATACCAAATAAATAAATAAATATTTTAAAATATATATATTTTAAAAAACATGTCAAAACACATTATTTAGAAAATAAATAAGTAAAAATAATAAAAAATTACTTAGCACAAGGTAAAATGCACAATACATTTTAAGGTAAAACATAATGGGTTTGCTCCCACTCCCAGTAAGAGAAAAAAAATCCCACACCAAAAGAAAGGCTTTGAAGCCTGCACATCTAATTTCCCCAAAAATAAGGCTCCCAACAAAAAGCCACATTAACCCCAAAAGCAGGGAATTTAATCTCCAGGGTGAACTTATGCCTTCCAGGCGTTGGGAGGCAAGGGAAGGCTCCAGAGAACACCGCTCCCTCCGCTCTGTCAGGTTTAGGGCAGGTGTGAAATGCAGTTTTTCCTTGAAAGCAAGTCCCCTTAGCGTCACAACAGCAGGACAGATCAGTGCTCCCCACAGAACTCAAGGGAGGCCCTGCAGGCCACGTGGGACACTGACCATCTGTCATGCCCAACTCGCAGAACTGGGACACACACACCAAGGGCTGGTGGTGCAGCCAGCCTGGGGCAGGAGGCCTCCTCGGCAGGCAGCAGATTCCAAACACAGCGCTCACCCTGAGAGCCCTGGCCAGGCCCCCAGCCTTGGTCATGAGCGCAGCTCCATGAACAGCACGGAGTGACACGCCAGGCCCCAGGTCCCCCAGCTCACACGAGAGAACAACTAAGTCCAGCCATCCCAACTCCTAGAGACTCCTACTTCACCCCTTGGGCATGGCTACTGCTGCCCTAAATTGTCTCCCAAGTGGTTAATCCGTGTTGCTTTTTTCACCGGTGGACAAATTCAAGTTTCTAATCAATATGCTTTGGTTTTCACCATAGAATCGTGGTTTTAACTAGAAAGAAAATCAGGACATCGCTGGGGAGATAGCTCAGTGGCATAAGTACCTGCCTGGGAAACTCAAGGTCCTGAGTTCAATCCCCAGTACCGGAAAAAAAAAAAAAAAAAAGCTTGGGGCCAGGGAGATGGCTCAGTGGAATAAATGCTTCCTTGGCAAGCACAAGGGCCTGAGTTCAATCCCTGGTACTGAAAAAAAAAAAAAAAAAAAAAATCAGGACATCAAATTCTGGTATCTCAGCAGAACTGACTCACAAGACATTATCAAATGGCTTCTATTTAACTTTTTTCTTTCTTTTTCTTTTTTTCCAGAACCAAGGATTGAACTCAGGCCCTTGAGCTTGCCAGGCAAGCACTTATTCTACTGAGCCATCTCCCCAGCCCCTAACGTTTTTCTTAATGATTAAATCAACATGGCACAAACCATAGAAAAAAATGAAATGAAATGTTGAATCCAACTGTTGATTCCCGAGAATTAAAGAGTTTCAACAGGGAAGATGGCAGCAGGCTTGGAGAACAGGCTGCGTGACTTGCCACTGCTCAGGACAGCAGGTCACCCCAGCTCCTAGTCCCTGAAGGGCAGGGTGTGAAATTCCATAGGCGGCCACTCCAGAACATAAACCATAGGCGGGAGGGGCCTCTCTCCCAGGCATTCCCAGATCCTGCCTGTGGGCTCCCGTGGCCCCTGCACCAGACTTGTAACTCTGGGTCCAGCTTGAGGCCACCCCTGGAAGCCTACACTCTAACTGCCCCAGCAGCCAAGGGCTTCCTTCTCTCTTTAGGTGAATTCCCCCGACGCTTCCAGCCTTCTACACCAGTCACTCACTCACTTCCTCCTACACGTTGTGGGTCTTGATTCTCAGTGAACCGTTTGCTCAGCTCCCTGAGGGCAGAATGGTGAATTCTCCTGTATCGTCAGCCTTCCTGTACAAAAGCCTGTCCCAAGGTCTCAGCCAGGTGTCCCTCACCCTACACAGGAGCCATGCTGCCCCACACCACCCTGGCAGGAGAACTGAGAGTCCATCACCCTGGTCAGTAACTGGCATATATATTATATATGCACACACATATATATTTGAGACAGAGTCTTGCTATTTAGCCCAGGCTAGCCTCAAACTCAGAGCAATCCTCCTGCCTCAGCCTCCCCAGTGCTAGGATGACAGGCTTACGCCACCACACACCATACCAGGTAGGGGCATATCAATTGAGCATTAATTCAATGAGCAAAAGGCTCCCAAGTCACAAAAGATTGAAAAGTACACACAACACAGAAAGAATACAATCTTCTCGAAGGGATGGTGCCTTCCACTTGCACCCCTGACACCCATGACCATGAGCCAACCATGCTGCACCTGCAGAGACCAAGAAATTTCACCAAAGTAGGACTGTATGCTTCACAACAGAAGCTGCTCCTTCCACTTCCAGTCGGCCTGCACCCCTGGCCCTTTCCTAGAAGAATAGTATTGTGCACAACTGAAGCCAAAAGGCCTTTCTGCAATGAAAAGACCATTCTTTTTTTTTTTTTTTTTGCAGAACCGGGATTGAACTCAGGCCCTTGTGCTTACCAGGCAAGCGCTTATTCTACTGAGCTATCTCCCTGGCCCCTCATGTTTTTTATTTATGAATAACAGAAATCACACAAACACCCACCCACCCTGTCTTCTTACATTTTGTTCTGTCCTATTTATTTTTTTTTTAAATTTTTTTTTTTAATTTATTTGAGAGAGAGAGAGAGAGAGAGAGAGAGAGAGAGAGAGAGAGAGAGGTGTGTGTGTGTGTGTGGCCAGCTCAGCCCACAAGGGGGCGGGGCTGGCTGGCATGTGGTGCTGGGGGATTGAACCGAGGTCCCTGATGCTTTGCCGAGCTTGTTTTTTTAAGTAGGTGCTTTAGACCACTGAGCCATCTCTCCAGCCCCTGTTCTGTCCTATTTAAAGCTGAGTTGGCTTCTCCTAGTAGTTCCTTTTGAGGACCCCACCCAGCCCTGCTCACCTCCGAGGCACACTCACCCCTGGCCCTGGGCCTGGCCTCTGGCTCCCGACCCTCCAGTCCCAGCCTAAACATCACCACACGCAGGCCAGGGCCACCTCTCCCTAGTCATCTTCCAAGTGCTCAGCCCCTTCTCACTACAGCTCCCTCCCTGGTTTCTCTCTGTATCTACAGGCAGTTACTACACAGCGTGCCTGCACACTCACACTCTCTCTCTCACACACACACACACACACACGCGCGCGCAGAGACACACCCCAAAAAACACCAAATAATTGTTCTTCTTTTCTGAACACTTGCAAAGAAGCCCGAGAGGTGCTCCAGCCAGAGAACTGCCCTGAGGCCTTGGCCTTGAGCCTTCCCCTGCTAACTAATAGTTCTGAAATTGACCACTGAGAAGAAATATGGTTATTGCATAATATTTGCTAGGTTAGATCCCTCGCTGTTCTGAGTCTGGCTCCACAAGAAGAGAAAAGAGAGGGGCAAGTGTAGTGCAATTTCCTTTGTGTACCTCTGCCAGCTCAGGCTTGCAACACCACAGGGACAGTTTCATCCTTGAGGCGCAGCTTCAGCATCACCAGAGAGGATTTTAAGAGAATGATAAATCATTCTTATCCCGCAGCTCATTAGCATATCTATCCTGCCAGCACCCCAGAGAGTCCTCCTTGGTTTGCACACTGAAACATTTAAGGGATTCTAGAGAGGGTATTTAGAGAAAATCGCAAAGGCAGCTCAGATGTTTCAGTTAAATGAAGGACTTCTTCCAGGCACAAACAAGAGTAGGGAGATTTCACTGGCATTACAGAAACAACTGGCCACTGCTGCCGCCTGCTCACAGCAGGGTGTCTTCACAGCTCTCTGCTCTTGCGAGGCCATCTTACTCATTCCAAAGAGAATGGATAACATCCAAGAAAAATAACTGATCTTCCTTCTCCTTAAAGAAAAATTTGTATGTCTCTTAAAAATACTGCTGGAATTCTGGCCGCCCAGCTCCTGCATTGTGACAGCTGGAGATGGCGCCGGGTGAGACACCGCGCATCTTCAGCCCTGCCAGGGTCTGATTCTCACTCTGGCGCTGGCATCAGGGGCTGTCAGGGTTTCCATCGTGAACACCTACTCACAGGATTACCAACCTCCTGAGATATTTTCCAGGTTTCACGCTGATAAGACTTATTTAGCTCTGGTCAAAGAATTTTCATTTTTAGACCAATTCTTATTATTTATAATGCCACAACATGGTGAGAAACAGAAACATTTCCTCTCGTTTGAATAAAGGACGGTTGCGCTGTATTTCATCGGGCACGCTACATGTGATGCAGTCTTTTCAACAGGCCATTTGCAAAGACCTTAAGGCACGGGAAGATTTTACGTCCAACGGATGGTCAGTGTTGGTATTTCTCCAAAAAAGGATTTTTACAGACACATGCAAGAAAAGAGAGCAGCTTCTCCAGTGTGCATTCACAGAAAACGCTAGGAAAAAATAATTATGGCTCCTGTGCAGTTGTATGCTGTGAATGTAAATTAAGAAGCCACTACCACGCCACTCCACAGAGCCCTGATGACTGCAAGGAAATAAATGGACACATAACAGCATGTCCATAAACGCGCGCGCGCACACACACACACACACACACACACACACATTCACACACCGAAGGTCTCATTCTGAAAACTCAATGCGAAATGTGAGGCACAGCGCTCCTGACCGGGCCAGCGCAGGCTCCTGGCATTCAGAGCACGTCCCCGGCCCCATCCTCCGCGGGCGGCCGCGTCCAACCGAGGCCGGGGCTGATCCGCGCCCAGGCCGCCCGGGCTCGCGTGGGCCCGGCTCTGCGGCGCGCTGCGGCCCATCCGCAGCGATGACTCAGGACCAACTTTTCCCCCGGCCGGCGCCCGAGGCCCCGCAGCCCGGCCCGACCGCACGAGGCCCCGCTTCCCGGAACCGGCCTCTGCCGCAAAGTTTGCAAAGTTGTGGCGCCCGGCGCGGGCTGGGATGGAGCCCGGGCCGGGACGCAGCCGCCCGCCCGCCTTCGCCGCCCGCCTTACCCCGCTCTGCGCTGCGCGGCC